ACCAATTAGAACTAATGGGAGGAGCCATGAGAATGAAACAATAAAACTAAACAACAAAAGAAAAGGAGAACAAATGGCATGCTTCTGTCTGCATTCAGACTCCATAGTTCTTTGTCTGGATGTGGCTAGCATTTTCCATTATGAATCTTTTGGAATTGTCTTAGATTGAGGTATTTTACATTTTTCTTTTATTTTTTATTCTTTTGATTCTGTTGGACTGGTTCGTGATGTCTCATGGAGTCATTAGCTTCCACTTGCCCAATTCTGCTTTTTAAGGAGTTCTTCTCCTCAGTGAATTATTGTACCTTCTTTTCCATTTGACCAATTCTACTTTTTAAGGAGTTTTTTCTTTAGTGCATTTTTTCCCATTTGTCCAATTGTATTTCTTAAAGAATTGTTTTCTATAGTCAATTTTTGTCCTTCTTTTTCCAAGCTGTTGACTCTCTCTTGCACACCTCTCATTTCTTTTCCCAATTTTTCTTTTATTTCTCTTGACTTTTAAAATCCTTTTTGAGATTTTCCAAGAAGACTTTTTGGGCTTGAGACTAATTCATATTCCCCTTTGAGCTTTTGGATGTAGGTATATTGACAGTGTTGTCCTCTTCTGCATTTGTGTTTTGATCTTCCCTGTTCCCATAGAAACTGTCTATGGTCAGTGTTCGTTTTTGCTTTTTGATCACCTTGTTTGCCTATTTCTTGGCTTTTAAAGTTGAGCTCTGCTTCTGGGGCAAAGGGGACATTGTCTCAAACTCTTTGTTCTGGGGACCAGGGGCCTGGTCACTGGCTTTGTGTGCCAGGACCTCAGGTACTGGCAGCTGGAGGCTGTAGGGGTCTGGCACCTTACCTGGTGCTAAGTTGGGGTCCTAGTGGTGGTGTCTGGCATGTACTGAGGCCAGCTGGGTTTTTCTGCACTTCCTAGGGCTACACTAAAGGAAGTTGGGGCCTGGCTACTGGAGGACTCCTGCCTGCTCCTGACTGTGCTGAAGCACATGGAGGTCTGGCTGCTGGAGGATGCCTGCCTATCTGGGGCTACACTGGAACACAGGGAGGTTCTCTGGCCTGGAGTCTGCTGGTTCCCCTGTCTATGCTAAGATGCATGGGGAATCCTGGTGTTGTTGTTTGCCTGCTCTACCACTCTAAGGCTCAGGATCTCCCAGTGGTTTGCTGAGGTGGGGCTAGTTGCTGGCTTGCTGGGATGCTTCCTCTCCTGGAATGCGCTCCCCTTTTACCTGAGTGCGATGGATCTTTCTTGCCCAATCCTCCAAGTATCCTGGGCTAAAAGACCCCATGTTCCTGCTGAATCTACTGTTCCAGGATTTTTCCTGGGGTGCTATTTCCTGTTTGTTTAGAAGTTAGTAAGGGAGAGAGACATATTTACTGCTTACTTCTCCACCTTGGCTTCTGGGAGTCCACGAGTTTTTTTTTTAATAAAAATAATTGAAAGAATTAAATGAAAAGTAAAATTTATTAAAAATCACAAGGTAACATAAAGAAATCACTCTGTGGACTCAGGAAAATCATTATAAAATTCAACTATTTGAAAATATCTGTGGAAAATATACACAAAACCCAGTGGATAAAGCACTGGCCCTGAAGTCAGGAGCACCTGAGTTCAAATCTGGTCTCAGACCAAACACTTACTAGTTGTGTGACCCTGGGCAAGTCACTTCACCCCAATTGCCTTAAAAAAAAAGAAAATATATGCAAAACCAAAAAATAAAGTGTATTAAAAACAGAACTTGAGGACAGTCTATTAGAAATAATAGAGGAAGCAGAACAAAATCTGAGAAAATTAATTAACTGGAGACAATTTTGGAAGCAATGTAGAAAGAAGTGATAGACCTGGAAGGCAGAACAAGGATTAAAAATGATGAGGCTTGCTAAAAATTGAAGAAAAGCAGCGGTCTGCTAAATTTCAGAAAAAAAATATAAGAAAGTTTCTAAGAAATTTTGAATGTAGGGAACAGTTTGTAATCAAACAGTTTCACTGGATGTTAACTGAGGAGTGATCTCCAAATTTAATTTACTCAATCCAAGCTTTAGAAGCATAATGATTATCTGTTTCAGGTCATCATTTCCACTTTCCTGACGATTGCAATAACTTCCTTACAGTTTTCTTGCCTTAAGTCTTTCCCTTCACCAACAAATCTTCTCCATAGCACCTAAAGTGGCATTCCTAAATTGTGAGTCTGTCCACGTCACTGTCTTGTTTAGTAAACTCCAGGGACTACCTATTACTTCTTGGATAAAATACACTCTCCTCTTTGGCATTTAAAGCCATCAATGAACTCTCTCCAACTTACCTCGCCAGGCCTAGTATATACATTTCCCTTCTCACATTCTTCCATCTAGCCAACTTGACCTTATTGTTCCTTAAACAGCATTCCATCTCCAATCTCCATGACTTTCTTTATTCAGACTATCCTCTATGCCTGATATGTACTCACTTTGGTTTTTTGGCATCCCCAATTTCCTTCAAAACAAAAGTCACTTGCTGCTTGAAGCCCTTCCCATGCTCACAGTTACTGATGCCTTCCCTCTACCCCAAATCACTTTGTATTTGTATTTATTTTGTATGTGATTATATATGTACATGTCTCCCCTTTAAAAAATGTAAGTTCCTTGAGAGCAGGGGCTATTTCATTTTTGTCTTTGCATCCCCAGGGCCTCTCTGAAGTTGCATTGATGATATCAGGCAAATTTGAATTGATATTATAAAGTATTAATAAAAATTAACAAGTCTATTTTATTATTCTTAAAGACATTATTGTCAATGATAAATGGAAATATAAAACATTTACTTTATGATGTATCAACTAAGTTTATGAAGAAAGAATTCTAAAATGAATTAGAAAAATCAATAATATTGGGACATTTCAATGTCTCACTAAGACATTATGATCAATCAATAAAATAAATAAATAGCAAATTGAATGTACTGCTATTAAAACTGGATCTGATAGCTTTCTAGAGAAACAACTTAATCAGAAAAGTAGGAGGGATGTGTGTGTATGTATACATAAATATATACATAGGTGTGTACATATACATACATAAGTATATACTTCTCCCCCTCCCATATACATGCTACATTCACAATGGTATACATTCTTAGGCCATAAATAAGTTGTAAATGAATTCAGAAAGGAATAAGTTTTAAATACTACCTTAGTTATTCATAATCTAATAAAATAGTAATCAAGAAAGAAAACATTTCCAAAAGATATTGGCCTATAAGTAAACTAAAAATGATATGTAGATTAAAGAACACATTCCAGAAATAATAACAAATTATATTAAAGACAAAAATATATACACAACATATCAAAATTTATGAAAGCAAGATTATTATCTCTGATCATTTTATTAAAGATAAAAAGGAAAACTGAATTGATTTTGCTTTTTAAAAATAAGAAAAATGAATGAATACACCCAAAATAAGCACAAAGCAAGATAGCATCAAAATAAAAGGAAAAACATATAATCTTAATCTTAATCCTTGTTCTGCTTTCCAGAGCCTTCACTTCTGTCTACATTGGCTCCAAAATTGTCTCCAGTTGAGTGAATTTTCTGTTTTGTTTTTCTGTATTCTTGATTATTTCTGCCAGATTGTCTTCAAGTTCTGTTTTGTGTATATAGATATGTAGATTATATACACACACATACACAACACAAATATATACACATATATGCACATACTACACATATTTATGCACACATATATGAATATAAACACATATATTTATATCAAGATATATCTATCTAGATCTAGATATGTGTGTATTATTCCTGCTCTTGCAACATGACAAAAGAAATCTTTTGTTTAATTATATAATTCCAGAAAAATATATTTACATTACTTTTGGCATACAGATCACTGTTAATAACATTGTGCTACCTAATTATGTCCATTATACATCTCTCCATTACCATTTGAGTGATTTGTAGTTTTGATTATCCAGAGATTGTGACATTCCTGATTTCCAGTCATAAACATCCCTAGAAGAGCATTGGTGTTAAAAATTTTAGTTCTCTGTCGGGAAGTGTCTTGATATGTTGAAAGCATTGTACAATTTCCCAAATTCAATCTAGCCTGTATTCTTTCTCCTAGTCAATTCTGGGTTGAGCTCACTGTCCATCTGCAATGCTTATTCAAGATGTATGTAGTGATGGACTAGCTCAGTGAATTAGTTGCTTATCCAAATGCATATTGTGGTTTGGACAGTAGACATTGTTCAATTCTTTAATCACCAGGTTTTTCCTGAGTGTATTGCTAGATTTATCTCTGTTGAGTGGTTGTTGATCTCATTGAAGCGTCTCTATGGTTTTCATGATTACTGTAATCATCATAGTGTTATCCACAATAAGGAACATCTGGAAGATTTCATTATCAATCACTGCGCTCTGCATTTGATCCAATGCAGAAATTCTCAATAAGGAGAGGTAATGTGGGGAGGTTGGGAAAGAAAGGGAATAAGCATTTATATAGCACTTATTGTGTGCCAGGCACTGTACTACGTGCTTTACAAATCTCATTAATCATCACAACAATCCTGTAAGATAGGTACTGCTATTAAACAGCTTGATTTACTTACATAGAGTCACACAGCTAGTAAGTCTCTGAGACGAGATTTGTACTCAGTTTTTCTGACTCCAGGTCCAGCAGGAGGCAGCTAGTTGTCTCTAATGAGAAAATGAATGCTTTTGGCAAGCATACTTCATTCAACACCATAATCTCTGCAACTGTATCTGCCAGGATATCTTTTATGATCTCAAGGTGTTCAAAGAAGAGAGTCTTTAAGGCAATCGTTTGCTTTCTTGATTAAATTTTTAAAATAATAAATAAAATAATGAACACATCAATGTTAGTGTGTTCTCTACACAATTTACAATTGTCTGATTGTGAAGATGTAGGCTGATATAGAACATGGGCTGTGAAAGTCTATCTTTTTTCTTCTCATAAGGATCTTCTCTTAAGGATTCTCTTATTATGTGTGTAGATAATATTTGTAGGGATGTACTTAGTAGTTTACAGACTTTAGTCCTCCCAGTGCTTTATTGAAAGAAAGTTGACAGTCTAGGGAGAAGAATGCCACTCAATGCTTATGTCCTTGATTTCTATAAACATAGCTCTCTGAAAGAATTAGAACAAGATAACAGGTAGGTAATGATTTTTATAATTAGGAATTCAAATTAGTCATATTATATATAATGGATCTCTATGACCTTTGTCCTGGTGGTGCACTCTTGCTGAAAGTTAACTTATCTATCTATCTATCTATCTATCTATCTATCTATCTATCTATCTATCTATCTAT